TTTACAAAAGTTGCACATATCTCCACGTAAGATCTCACGAATATAGCCATTCTGTTTACAAAAATTTCCAGATCGGTTACAACCAATACAGTGCCACGTCATCAAAATACACGTACTAGAACCGAAGCAGGGACCTTATCTTACATATTTGCATCATTTGCTGAAGGATGGGTCGAAGTTACGGAGTTTGAAAATTGACAAAGTCAGTACGGTCACCTCGCTATCAAGGAGAACGTCGTCTCTTGCTGAAAAGATAATCTACATTAGTGAGACACCAAAGCGTCAAGCTCGGGGATTGATCTCTTCTGGGCTGGAGGTACCACTGCTCTTCTAACCAGCAAACCATTAGTTTGTTCCTAGCACTTTATGAGTATGAAAACCGTTATATTAGTATGAACACAGTTTTTAACACGTACATGTTAGTGGAACATGCACTCGAATCTCACTGGAATTAGAGAAGAAGAGAAAGAATTTGGAAGGACTATATCCAGGAATTTGCAATGTAGAGATGTTATCTACCCGACCACTCTCACATCTATTCATGGTTAATACAAGCCTTCCAAGGGCCATTCCTTCTTCACCAAGAAGCTCGAACGCAACGACTAATGGGCCAAACATGCCATATAATGTTAGGAGGGGCCAAATCATCTAAATATAGATAATTTTCTCATATAAGTAGAGAATTAGGAGGAGTAGTAGGTGTGTTTGTGGGAGCATAGGGGGGCAACACCCCTGCCAGCCCTCCTTGCCTCTGCACTGGATACGACTAGTGTATTTATACCGCTATGATGTTTCAGGGTTCATTGGACCCAGTTTTGGCCTGCAGGCCAATTTGCTTGCAAAGAGAGTATGGGACTTTCCATGTCACAAATGCAGCAACAGTTCCACTCCATTGCACTAGCTAGCACTTGAGAAATGGTGCAATAACCTTGTTGAAGAACGGAGGGTTGAAGAATATGTACATGAACTTGGAGAAGAGCATCAGGAGCAGGGAGAGCCGGTTGACCCTAATGATGATGAGCAATACATTGCTTGAGTCGAAAAACATGAAATACCAGATGAATTGGGTAGAAAAGGGCAGACCCAAAGGATTGGCCAACTCTCCGATTTTCTTGGTAACCAAATATGGTCCATAGTACTTGAATTATAATTTTCAGTTATCTCTCCTAACTGTTGAAGATTGAACATAGAGTTGCATGGAAAATGATCTCCAACTGCGAAGTGTCATTCAGTTTTTCTTCTTATCTGCCCATGACTAGTACATGCGAAGGCTAGCAAAAGACTGAAATGCAGAAGCAGAATTCATGCTTAGTACAACGAAGGCTAGCACAAGATGGAGGTTAAACAACTAAAGAGCATGAAAACCACAATTATGCATTCTTCTTTAATAATACCATCGTGCAAGTTCTTTGATAGTACAACTCAATGTTCAGTTGCTCACTGGTCCCATCTCACTAGCAATAACTTGTATGCACAGTTATAGGATTATGTCATTTTTACCTTTGCTATTAGTGCTTGGTTTAATGCAACATGTAAAGTGTATCATGCTTGGAGGTGTGGTGTTCTTGTGTTGAACCCAGGTGTTTTCTTTGTATAACAAATTGTTACATTCATGCAAGGAAGGAAAGCTCAAGTACATCGCAGAAAAAGTGTTATTATTATACTGCATGTACTTGCGGATATTGTCTTTGCGGATAGTGTTATTATTATACTTTTGAAAATTTTGAATTTTGTCGAATTTCATATTTTCTACGTATCAAAAAATTCTGAAAAAAACACACATATACATAAAGGCATAACCCACATGTGTGTAAATTTTCAGGCAAAAATAAGTTGAAATGAGGGTTGTGCAAAAAAGATAAATCAGGGGCTTTTTAACACATGATACTATTCATCCTCCCAGGCCATGAATTTGTCTTTTTTGTACAGGTCACATTTCAACGTTTTTCATTCTGAAATTTTACACACATATACATAATATACTTGTTTACTAGCACAATTTTTTTCAGATTTTTTTGCAACCAAAAAGTTTGAATTTTGATTTGTTTTCAAAAAAAGGCCTCCATGGCTCCGGGAGCCAAACGTCCGCTCCCATGTACTTGTTCCAATACTATGGTATATTGTACTATAGTATGAGATAAATGCACCATTATTCACACAACTCTCGCCAGATGAGTACTTTGGTCACACAACTCTTCAAAATGTTATTAAGTGGTGACAAGACTTTAGTTTATGAGTAAACATGTCACTACTGCTGAGGTCTTCTGCTGACTAGGCCATATTTTGCAAGAAGAACCATGCCAATAATTTTGGAGGTGTTATTTAGGATAACCTTAGTGCAACATACCCTCGAACACCTTGTGATCACTCTCTCCATGACATGGCTACCGCAGCTTGCCCCCAGTATCACCCCGCCACTGCACAGTCAGTCTTTTTTTCGAGAAGGGGGAATACCCCCGGCCTCTGCGTCAAAGCGATGCATAAAACCATTTATTATATTATTGCATAGAACCCAACAAAACAAATACATGCATGAATCCGAAGCCACCTTCTTGGCAACTAATGTCGCTACACCTACAATCGTAATGACGTGCCCTGACCGCATATCAACACACTACACCTTGAGCCTTCCGTTAGATCGCTTGCCCGAGAAGAAGAATTCCGCGGGCGGGCGAAACCCGTCACGCTTCCACCAGCCGCGTTAGCCGAGAGTCCGAGGACACCGGCAATCAGCGGACGGAGAGGGGCTAGGCGTCGCCGGAAGGAAAACAAACCCTAACTAGAAAATGGTACGTACATCGATACGGTCATAGTCATGTGCAGTGGCAAGTCCAGTGGGCAGGCTTCAATTAGCTTTTTTTTAGACAACCTCGCAAAGTTTTTATTAATTCGTCACAATGTTTACAGGGACGAAAGTAAGATCTCCAGGCATTCCTAACCAAACATGGCGGCCACTCTGGAGAGATAAAGCATACTTCACTAAGTTGTGAGCTTCGAAGTTCGAGCTCCTAAATTCATGGCTAAATTTACAAAAATCAAAGTCCGAGGAGTGTCGTATTATCTCCTGTATAATTGCCCCATACACGGATGCATTCCCCTTCTTCAAGTCTTCCACCACTACCTTGCAGTCCGAGGCCGCATGTATCCTCCTTTCATAGAGATCATCTGAGAGAGATAGTGCTTCTTTGATTGCAATCGCCTCCAAAGTCCGTGGTTCTGCAATAAAATTAAGGACCATTACAGAAGCTCTCAAGAATGTCCCATCCGCACTGCGGCATACAGCACCCACAGCACCACATTTAGCTCGTCTTGACACCGCAGCATTAACGTTAACCTTCACACAGTCCGCTGCCGGTGCTTGCCACTGGTTTGGTCTTGGAATGGCCGCAGGACTCGGTTTTGGCAATTTTGAATTGATTGCATTAACTTCAGCCAGATAGCTTGTGATGAAACCATTTGTGGCATGCGGTGATTGATATATATCTTCATAAATCGCTTTTCTCCTCGCTGCCCAAATCGCCCACATGGTTACAATCAGCCGTACAAAAGACTCCTTATCAAGACGGTCATGAGGTGCAAAAAGCCATTCCTTGGATCCTTCCTCCTGCCTTTCAATTAGCTGAAGCCTGCCCTCCAGAAAAAACGATGTTTTTCACTACTAGTAGTAATCCAGTATGCGTTCGACCCAGCCCAACTAGTCCCAGCGCCCAGCCAATAGACGTGAGTTACTTGGAAAAAAGAAAAAGGCAATAGACGTGCTTCCGGCCTTGGGCTATTCCTCGTTCGAGCCAGCACAGAAGCGCCACCACCAATCCTACCCTAGGTAGCGCGAGCAGCAGGCTCCTCCGGTCCTCACCGACTCGACCTCGTACAGGCGCTCCACGGCGGCACGGCCACCTCGTGCAGGCACTCCAGAACGCGCGCGCGTGCGGTCGGCAGCCGGCAGGACTCCCGCGGCATCGAAGGCCGTTGAGTGCAGCCGCCAGCTCGTCGTTGGCCAGAGAAGTGGAGGCGCCGGCCGGCCGGAGCTAGGATTCGGCTCGCACCGCCGCATGCCGCCACGCGCCCGCTCCAAAATGACCCATCGGCGCATCCAGTACTGAGTGCATCGGCTGTTAGAGCCATAGAGGGCACTTCTATTGCTTTCTACAAGGGCCTTGATAGGAATTGCGATAAGAAAACACACCACCTGACGTGTGGCATTTATCATTTGGGAATATTAAATAGAGAGTGGGATGGCTTGCAGCCAAACCGAACATGTTATTTTGGGACGTGTTTTGCCTTTTCAGATCTTTTGACTGCCTCTTGGTCCATGAAAGATGGATGTTGTTAGTTCTCAGACCTGACGAAGCTAGCAATGGGATCATTGAAATTTGGTTTGGTTTCTTATATCAGCATTGCCCAAGGGGGCGCACAACATTGCAAGACACGCTTTTTATTCGAAAATACTCCATTAGTTTGGGCGGGTAATCCCCCAGCTTTTAGCTTGCAGGATGTAATAAACAATGCAACTCTTCTGAAGTTTAAATAAAGTGTGCCGTATGGCATTCCCCTAAAAAAAACTTGCTAAACTTATTGTTCACCGCCAGATGTTCTAATATGTATCCACTTCAAGTATATGTATCCACTTCAAGTAACGGTCAGACTAGCGTCTCTTAATTTGACTGTTAAATGATTTCGGAAATTAACACTTACTTTACTGGTACGACACAATGCAAAGCATATTCCATTATGTCAGCAAAATAGACTTTGCACCCCTGTGATGTGCTACGCTTCTACTGGAACATAAAAGAAAAAGAACAGGGGGTGATAATTTAAGGCAGGTACACCATGCTCCCGTTGATTTCAAAATGCACAAAGGCGGTACAATCCATAGGTTGCGCTTTATGCACACTGGCCAGCACTAAACATCAATTGCGAGCCTAAGACGTCAATGAAGACACATTCATCACATTCTGTTAGCGAGTTGTTATCAGGTTTCAGCATCTTCCTTACAGCAGCTACCGTTCCATTAGCCGTGCCCAAACTGTTGACCAGGACCTGGACATAGAAGATTATGAAGCTCATCATCAGTTCAAACCCTTCAGCATATGACAAATGTGATCACTGCTAATCAGAAGGGAAAAAAAGGGTTAACTTTACTGACCAGAGATAACTCTGGATTGCTGGGGCATTCCCTCTATCATGCTTAGCTGCCTTCTCAGCTTAGCAATGTGAGCCTGCACCTGGAGGAACAAAAAGGTAACAACTCAAATCACAGGATGCTGTTTTCCACGACTAACTGTTCATGTCTAAGCATATTCTATCAGGTTTGTACGCAAACCATTATATGCAACACCGTGTAACTAAACAAGCAAAATGGAATAAAAGCCACCAGAAACACCACATGGTTTCAAGGTCCCAAATAATTCCTAGTGTGACGTCTCTATGAAAGTGACACCAGGAGCAAAGTATTTCCAGTGTTACGGCAAGGATCTGCATATCAGAACGAATGGATGATTCCACTACTAGACACTGGGTTTTCTATTACTGGCATACATCTTATCCTAAAACACATTCGCTGACTGAAACTCTCAGCAGAAGGGAAAAATTGTAAGTCTCTACAGCAGTGAACCTTACACGTGTGGCTAGACTATGTCCCATGGGGAAATAACGCCTTCTACCGGCATTGCCAGCTATTATACACACCTAATAAAGACAAATACTACTAGCTCCGATTCTCACCTGTTGACGAGCAGCAGCCAGTTTTAATAGTTCATCTGCTTCAGAGAAGTTTGAGAACCACTGGCTCAGAGAATGATCCTTGGTGTCAAAACGCTTCTTATCATGTGGCATAAGTTCCATAGGACCTAGATGATTTAAAGCTTCAGATGCTACTTCACCATTTCCCACTATGAAAATAGGAAGTACAAGCCAGTAAGCCACATACCTGGAGAAGACAATGTTATACCAGGAGGTAGCCTGGGCACAGTAGCAGCAGGGTGATTTTGCACTCGCAAGAAGAAGGCTTCAGTGGGCTCAGGGAAGACAACTTCATCGTATGTCTCCACTACAACTGGTTTTTTTGTTGATTGAGGTCCAGCGTCCTCTTCCGGATACAACTTAAGCTGATGAAACCTGCATCAGTTGTATCACCTAAGTATTTGCTCCCAAATAAAAAATCACTGTTGACAAAAAGAACTTCGGCACTCACAAGTCCAAGCGCTTCTCGCAGACATCACTGTGAAAATAAAGGGTTATTGCAATCTCAAACTCCCCCCATCCAGATTCGGACAACTCAAAAGGCGGTTGCTCTACAACTCTTGTTGGATTAGTGAAACTTGGGTGAAGCTGAAACACCACACGCTTAACTATGACACTCAGATCCTCATTTGTTGCAGAACGGATGTACACGGTCCATTTGTGAGAGTTGTACCTATAAGGGGAAAGCATTTTTTCTTCAGACAAGTTCTGCTACAGGTAAGAACATAAAAATGTGACACTGCGTTTACAGTTTGAAGTTGTAAACATTTGCTTATTTCATGAAATTAACAAAAATAAGTATCTGTGAGGCAAATGCTTACTCGCTTGCTTTTTTGCCAAGCCAAAACGAAATGGTCCCATAAACAATTGGAAAACTGATCTCCACATCCTTGAGCTTCTTATTCTGTTCAAGGGATTTTGGCAACGATTAATCAGAAAATCATTATAGATTGCATATCAATAGTGTCTAATCATCAAAATAATGATGGATGAAATGTGCAACATTCAATCCTATTGTGTGATTAATCAAACATCATACTTGAGTCTGTAGAAAACTGGAAGATGCACTTTAACAAATGCTTAGTTCTTGCCCTGCTTTTCATGCATAGGAATCAGGTGAGATTTTATAGGGCCACTAAACTTTAGGATAATCTGCTATTGTTCTATGCAAGGAGATGGTAGCAATTATTATGACAAAAGAATTCTTTACCAAACACATGGTTACTTGCTCACTGACATGCCTATGAAAACTACAGCTTGAAGGACAATAAGGTCTACTCCCTCTGTTCCTAAATGTAAGTCTTTTTAGAGATTCCAACAAGAGACTACATACGGAGCAAAATGGGTGAATCTACACTCTAAGATATGTCTATATACATCCGTATGTTGTAGTCCATTTGAAATCTCTAAAAAGACTTATATTTAGGAACGGAGGGGGTAGCCTTAGCCTCTAACTATGAAAACTACAACGGATGAAATGTGACAAAACTGAATCCTATCGTGCGATCCCTCAAACATCATATAGGAGCCTTTGCATCACTGTAAGATGTGCCCCTATAAATGCTTAGTTCTTGCCACGTTCTTCACGCCTAGGAAGCAGGTAACCTTTATAGTGGACCACCATATGTTAGACTAAGAAGATGTTCTATGCAAAGACATGGTAGCAACTAGCATGACAGGAAGGATCCTCTGCCAAACACAAGGTACTGACTCAGTTACATGCCTAAATATTCCGACCCATTCTCTCAATCCTCGTCAACTTAATCATGGGAATGAGCAGAACAGACCTACATGACAATCCGGTTAAGAAAACAGCATGCAGAGTTACCAAACACATTATCAGATTACACAGCCCGTAACTTAGCGCAACAGTTAAATAGAACTTTGTGTTGGATCCCGTTCTGACCGTTTCCCAACTGCAGCAGTAAACATTCTAGCATCATTCATTTTGCGATTTATTACTGACGGATGCCTAATGTCTTGGATCAAGTAGGCCAGCACACTATAGTCAATTCTGCCTCTCATAAGTCATAATACTCATCAACTCAATTACAAGCACGGGGCAGAACAGATCAAACGTTCCAAATGGAAGTCCACTTGCACACATTTGCCGTCACTTCATTTTTCAACTGCAACAATGAGCATTCTAGCAGCTATTCAATTTTCAGAAAACCACATACGAATGATGCGGCATAATTCGTCTGACCCAGGTTAGCCTAGCCACATACTGGCACAGACACGCAGACTACGGCCGTCAAAACCCTAGCTCCCCCCAACCCCCAATGCGGGGCAAGCACGCCGTACAGAAGCTACTGCATATCGAATACAGGAGGTGGGTGAGGGAGGGGAACCTTCTTGTCGGGGTCCTCGGGGGCGCGCGCCGGCTTGGAGCGGAGCGCCTTCTGTGCGGCGGTCAGCGCGGGCTCCCCCGCCGCGGCCGCGGGAGGCGAGTCCGAGAGGATAATGGGAGCGGAAGAGGGAGCGGGAGCGGGTGTAGGCGCAGCCGTGGCCGTGGCCGCCGCGGGGGGCGGCGGCGAGGACGGCGGCTGCTCCATCGGCGGCGAGGGTTTGGGGGTGGTGGGTCAGTTCGCCGCGGCGTTGGGGAGGGAG